ACAAATATTTACTTTAGCACTTTATTTTAACAAAATGACACTGGCTTCAGTCTTTCTCATTTTATTCTCCACGTACTACGCAGTATGGGGCACGGGTGGCCCAGTCATCTAAGGCGCTGCGATTCGCTGTGCAGAGTTGCGTCCCATGCCAGAAACCTATGATTGAGGGTTTGAATCCCGGTTTGCCCTGATTATGTTTCTAGGTTTGTCAGCACCATACCCGTGCTAGTGGGTTTCACCGAGGTTGGTTAACGTCTGAGACCTGCATCACTTCAGGCTTTCCTCCCACATGAAGCTGTCATGCCACGATATAACTGGAATACTGTTAAAAGCGGGGGCGGTCGGGTAGCCTAGTGGTTAAAGCGTTAGCTCGTCACGCCGAAGACCCGGGTTCGACAAGGCATGTGTGAAGCACATTTCTGGTGTCCCCCGCCGTGATATTGCTGGAATATTGCTAAAAGCGGCGTAAAACCTCACTCACTCACTCACTCACTCACTGTTAAAAGCGGCGTTAAACCCAACTCACTCACTTACTATGCAGTAATTAAGATGGGAAGAAACCTTGACAGGAAATCTGATGCTGTTATACTGTGAAACACGAGTGTGACCTTCTGTCGGTTTGTTGTTTGTGAGACTGATCAATACTTGTGACATAACAAGGTAATAATTGTCATGTAGCAGGTTGATTAGTGTCAGCCAAGATGTCAGGTGATGTCATATTCCTGAAAGTTGGTCAGTGGGTCAGGTGAGATCAAGGTCACGGTGTCAGCAACAAGCATGGCGGTGCAGGCTAGTTTCTGAAGTGTTTGCTTGTCATGGTTATATCTAGGTTGTCATGGTTATATCTAGGTTGTCATGGTTATATCTAGGTTTGATTCCCCATGGGTACTATTGAGGAAACTCTTTCTTGGTGTATCCTGCTCTTGCACAAATATTGCTGAAAGGACAATACAACTTTTTAAGGTGATCCTGTGAAAATAATTGTCAGTTGTAGAAAAAGTATTGAAAACTGAAGAGCTGTTTAGCATGGATCAGAATGCTGTTTTCCTAACTACATGTCCTGTGACTATCTACTGGGGACCCATGAAGATCTGTAGTAGAATAGGTCTTTAGCAACCCAAGCTTGCCGTAAAAGGCAACTTACTATGGGAGCGGGATCGGGTGGTCAGGTTCGCTGACTTGGTTGATGCATGTCATATCCCAATTGCGTGGATCGATGCTCGTGATGTCAATCACTGGATTGTCTGGTGCAGACTCGATTATTTACAGACCTCTATCATATAGCTAGGATATTGCTGAGTGCGGCATTAAACAACAAACAAACAAACAAACAAACCTACTGGGAGGTTTTCAATACTAAATGAGTGTCAGGAAGAAATCAGTTATCAAAATCAGATTTTGCTCAACAAGTTTGAAAATTAAGCACTTGTCTAGGTCTGCCAATCCTTAAATCGGGGTTACTAAAAAACCTGCCAAAGTAGGGAAATTAACTGGTCTTTGAAAACCCCCACCCCTGAAATATATGTACATGTATTCACTGTTTCATCTGTTATTGATTGTTAGACAAAATCCCGGTGATAACCACTGACACAAGGCATCAGTTAAGACAATCCCAGTGATGGCCACTAACACAAGGCATCAGTTGAGACAATCCCAGTGATGGCCGCTGACACAAGCATGGCATCAGTTGAGACAATCCCAGTGATGGCCACTGACCCAAGGCATCAGTTGAGACAATCCCAGTGATGGCCACTGACACAAGGCTTCAGTTGAGACAATCCCAGTGATGGCCACTGACACAAGGCATCAGTTGAGACAATCCCAGTGATGGCCGCTGACACAAGGCATCAGTTGAGACAATCCCAGTGATGGCCACTGACACAAGGCATCAGTTGAGACAATCCCAGTGATGGCCACTGACACAAGGCATCAGTTGAAACAATCCCAGTGATGGCCACTGACACAAGGCATCAGTTGAGACAATCCCAGTGATGGCCACTGACACAAGGCATCAGTTGAGACAATCCCAGTGATGGCCACTGACACAAGGCATCAGTTGAGACAATCCAAGTGATGGCCGCTGACACAAGGCATCAGTTGAGACAATCCCAGTGATGGCCACTGACACAAGGCATCAGTTGAGACAATCCCATTGATGGCCACTGACACAAGGCATCAGTTGAGACAATCCCAGTGATGGCCACTGACACAAGGCATCAGTTGAGACAATCCCAGTGATGGCCACTGACAGAAGCATGGTATCAGTTGAAACAATCCCAGTGATGGCCACTAACACAAGGCATCAGTTGAGACAATCCCAGTGATGGCCGCTGACACAAGGCATCAGTTGAGACAATCCCAGTGATGGCCACTGACACAAGGCATCAGTTGAGACAATCCCAGTGATGGCCACTGACTCAAGGCATCAGTTGAGACAATCCCAGTGATGGCCACTGACACAAGGCATCAGTTGAGACAATCCCAGTGATGGCCACTGACACAAGGCATCAGTTGAGACAATCCCAGTGATGGCCACTGACACAAGGCATCAGTTGAGACAATCCCAGTGATGGCCCCTGACACAAGGCATCAGTTGAGACAATCCCAGTGATGGCCACTGACACAAGGCATCAGTTGAGACAATCCCAGTGATGGCCACTGACACAAGGCATCAGTTGAGACAATCCCAGTGATGGCCACTGACACAAGGCATCAGTTGAGACAATCCCAGTGATGGCCACTGACACAAGGCATCAGTTGAGACAATCCCAGTGATGGCCACTGACACAAGCATGGTATCAGTTGACTAACAGTTCTGAAAATCAATATTTGAGTTGAATTTATGCATACAGTGATCCTTCGCTACAACGCCACCTTCGGGGTCCAAATAATTGATGAGTATTATAGATGATCAGGAGTTTAATGAAGGTCGAGTCATAGGTGGTAGATGACCAACAACACAGTAAAAATGCTCTGCCTACCTAACACGATCTACCTTTACATTTCAGAGTTTCAAAAAAGTTTAAAATAGAAGTTATTTGTGATTCATTGTGTAAAAAAAGATGTATCTCATGTTAATATGCGCTTTAAAAAAAACCCCATGTGGTATCCCTTCAGCGAATTCAGGTGAATAAACAGGTATAACAAACTTGGTCAATAAAAGTATGAAATTTGATATAAAACATCACTAGACATGATGATTTACCATTTAAAATGTATTTCCTGCTCTCCAGGTATTGTTATCCCCCCGACATATAATGACGGGGGGATATAGCCATCAGTATGTCCGTCCGTCCGTCCGTCTGTCCGTCTGTCTGTCTGTAATCATTGTTTGTCCGGAGCATATTTCCTAAACCGTACAACCTAGCTTCACAAAACTTGGTACACTTACTAGTCAGGCTTAGTAGTAGTGCCTTTTGCTATTTAGAGATTTTTAGAATTTTTTATTTTTGTCGTTTCCATGGAAATATGATGAACTTAGGAAATTTGAGGGTAGTGCTCTTGTCCGGAGCATATTTCCTAAACCGTACAACCTAGCTTCACAAAACTTGGTACACTTACTAGTCAGGCTTAGTAGTAGTGCCTTTTGCTATTTAGAGATTTTTAGAATTTTTTATTTTTGTCGTTTCCATGGAAATATGATGAACTTAGGAAATTTGAGGGTAGTGCTCTTGTCCGGAGCATATTTCCTAAACCGTACAACCTAGCTTCACAAAACTTGGTACACTTACTAGTCATGCTCAGTAGTAGTGCCTTTTGCTATTTAGAGATTTTTAGAATTTTTTATTTTTGTCGTTTCCATGGAAATATGATGAACTTAGGAAATTTGAGGGTAGTGCTCTTGTCCGGAGCATATTTCCTAAACCGTAGAACCTAGCTTCCCAAAACTGGGTACACTTACTAGTCATGCTCAGTAGTAGTGCCTTTTGCTATTTAGAGATTTTTAGAATTTTTTATTTTTGTCGTTTCCATGGAAATATGATGAACTTAGGAAATTTGAGGGTAGTGCTCTTGTCCGGAGCATATTTCCTAAACCGTACAACCTAGCTTCACAAAACTTGGTACACTTACTAGTCATGCTCAGTAGTAGTGCCTTTTGCTATTTAGAGATTTTTAGAATTTTTTATTTTTGTCGTTTCCATGGAAATATGATGAACTTAGGAAATTTGAGGGTAGTGCTCTTGTCCGGAGCATATTTCCTAAACCGTAGAACCTAGCTTCCCAAAACTGGGTACACTTACTAGTCATGCTCAGTAGTAGTGCCTTTTGCTATTTAGAGATTTTTAGAATTTTTTATTTTTGTCGTTTCCATGGAAATATGATGAACTTAGGAAATTTGAGGGTAGTGCTCTTGTCCGGAGCATATTTCCTAAACCGTACAACCTAGCTTCACAAAACTTGGTACACTTACTAGTCATGCTCAGTAGTAGTGCCTTTTGCTATTTAGAGATTTTTAGAATTTTTTATTTTTGTCGTTTCCATGGAAATATGATGAACTTAGGAAATTTGAGGGTAGTGCTCTTGTCCGGACCATATCTCCCGAACCATACAACTTAGCTTCTCAAAAGTGTTTACATCTATCAAGCAGGTTATGTAGTGGTGCCTTTGCTATTAACAGATTTTTCTTTTTTTTAATCTTTTTTCAATTTAAATTTAAAATTGATGAACATAGGGTAATGTCCTCATCTGGAGCATCTAGAGTGGAGAAGTAGAGTATCTATGTATTGTTCTCTGCTACAGGGTAGAGTGGAGGAGAGTGGAATATATCTATGTATTGTTCTCTGCTACAGGGTGGAGTGGAAAAGAGTGGAGTATTTCTATGTCTTGTTCTCTGCTACAGGGTAGAGTGGAGGGTATCTATGTATTGTTCTCTGTTACAGGGTAGAGTGGAGGGTATCTATGTATTGTTCTCTGTTACAGGGTAGAGTGGGGTGTATCTATGTATTGTTCTCTGCTACAGGGTAGAGTTGGGTGTATCTATGTATTGTTCTCTGCTACAGGGTAGAGTGGAGGCGTGTGGAGTGTAATGGCGGACACTGGATCACCGGTGGATGGGCCGATGCCAGTTCCAGGAGAAGTCACAGAGAAGGATTTTGAGGAGCTGAAGGACAGATGCAAGGTAACCGTGGTAACACATCTACCAACCACTCATCTGCTGACAGGGTCAGACCAACTGTACATGTATACCACCTGACCCTATGTCAGAACCTGTGTCCAGTTGTCTCCATGGTATACGGATGTAAGGGGTAATATTCAGATGTAAGGGGTGATATACAGATGTAAGGGGTGATATACAGATGTAAGGGGTGATATACAGATGTAAGGGTGATATACAGATGTAAAGAGTAATATACAGATGTAAGGGGTGATATTCAGATGTAAAGAGTAATATACAGATGTAAGGGGTGATATACAGATGTAAGGGGTGATATTCAGATGTAAAGAGTAATATACAGATGTAAGGGGTGATACTCAGATGTAAAGAGTAATATACAGATGTAAGGGGTGATATTCAGATGTAAAGAGTAATATACAGATGTAAGGGGTAATATACAGATGTAAGGGGTGATATTCAGATGTAAAGAGTAATATACAGATGTAAGGGGTGATATACAGATGTAAGGGGTGATATACAGATGTAAGGGGTGATATACAAATGTAAGGGGTGATATACAGATGTAAAGAGTAATATACAGATGTAAGGGGGTGATATACAGATGTAAAGAGTAATATACAGATGTAAGGGGGTGATATACAGATGTAAAGAGTAATATACAGATGTAAGGGGTGATATACAGATGTAAGGGGTGATATACAGATATGAGGGGGTGATATACAGATGTAAGGGGTGATATACAGATATAAGGGGTGATATACAGATGTAAGGGGTGATATACAGATATAAGGGGGTGATATACAGATATAAGGGGGTGCTATACAGATATAAGGGGTGGTATACAGATATAAGGGGGTGATATACAGATATAAGGGGGTGATATACAGATATAAGGGGGTGCTATACAGATATAAGGGGTGGTATACAGATATAAGGGGGTAATATACAGATGTAAGGGGTGATATACAGATATAAGGGGTGATATACAGATGTAAGGGGTGATATACAGATGTAAGGGATGATATACAGATGTAAGGGGTGATATACAGATGTAAGGGGTGGTATACAGATATAAGGGGGTGATATACAGATATAAGGGGGTGATATACAGATATAAGGGGTGATATACAGATGTAAGGGGTGATATACAGATATAAGGGATGATATACAGATGTAAGGGGTGATATACAGATGTAAGGGGGTGATATACAGATATAAGGGATGATATACAGATGTAAGGGGTGATATACAGATGTAAGGGGGTGATATACAGATATAAGGGGTGATATACAGATATAAGGGGGTGATATACAGATGTAAGGGGTGATATACAGATGTAAGGGGTGATATACAGATGTAAGGGGGTGATATACAGATATAAGGGGGTGATATACAGATATAAGGGGTGATATACAGATGTAAGGGGTGATATACAGATATAAGGGGGTGATATACAGATATAAGGGGGAACTATACAGATATAAGGGGTGATATACAGATATAAGGGGTGATATACAGATGTAAGGGGTGATATACAGATGTAAGGGGGTGATATACAGATGTACGGGGGTGATATACAGATATAAGGGGTGATATACAGATATAAGGGGTGATATACAGATGTAAGGGGGTGATATACAGATATAAGGGGGTGATATACAGATATAAGGGGGTGATATACAGATGTAAGGGGGTGATATACAGATGTAAAGGATGGTATACAGATGTAAGGGGGTGATATACAGATGTAAAGGATGGTATACAGATGTAAGGGGGTGATATACAGATGTTAAGGATAATATACAGATGTAAGGGGGTGATATACAGATGTTAAGGATGGTATACAGATGTAAGGGGGATATACATATGTAACCCGTAATGGGATGTCCTCAGATCTTTGTTTAGCGGTAGCAAAAACTAAGATCTGATTTTAATGAGATTGTAAGGGGATGTTTTCCTCTTTCTCCAGTGACTGAGAGTGTTTGGATTGTGTTTGTCACAATGGTAAAACCTTCGTAGAAACAAGGTAACTTAAGCTCAACAGAAGGGTCGGGAGAAGCGTGAGAACATTGCCTTGTCAGCATCACACAATGCAGTACTGTGAATCAATTTAATGATAAAAATATGGAGACAATGTTTCTGTAAACACAGTTCTTGTGATGCTGATAAATAACTGTTTCTCACATATTGGGTTCAGAAGTATGGAGTATATTAAAAATTGCTGTAACATAACTTGGAGTCCTGACAATGTTTCACGCATACGCCTCGTTTGTTTAATGCAATAACTATGTTGGCACATCGACTGTTGCCATTTTCAATTGAAGATTTCTGCTCTGGCAGTGTTTACCGGAGTGAAGTCTTGCAAAGAATCTGATTAGAAGCCAGGATAGTGTTCTCATTCCCCCACATGGCCGGGACTATTGATTCCTGCCCTTGTTCCCCCGACCACCATGTCCCCAGTGATTGTCTCCACATGGTGTGGGAGCACACTCGATGTTCGTCTCGGTAGAAATAGTCACCAGTAGGCTGTTTGTGGATTATAGACAAGTTGATCATGATGGTACAGAATTGATTAAGTGCTCGGCTCTGATGAGCACTTTTAGAACATTCAAGAAAATGCAGCGATTTCACAATCAATTAATCACCCAGACTTCATAAAAATGGCGAAAATGGTCTAACTACTACGTTAGAAATTGGCACATGTCCTACAGTCCTTGCCAAACTGTCCAATAGTTAAGGTATCATAAGGACAAGTAGACATTTTCCATTTTAAAGGGTTTTGCTATAATTTATCATTATAAGGACAAGTGGATTGAAATGCTAGTTTAATGTGTATTTTGTAATTAGTTTAATATGTATTTTTAATTTGAAAATTACAACTTCTTCCTTTTTGGAAGTTAAAGAATATATCTCTTACAGCAATGGCTGTCATTGTATATATATTCCAAACTCTTGGCCTCAGTGGTCTCGTTGACTCTGAGATGTCCAGACACGTGGTCTTGTCATTTTGTTAAATTTGTATTTTGAATTTAAACTTTCCTTGAATTTATGTCATGTTAAGACTGTAAACATGAGGGACCTTGGTTCACTTGGATGTATAAATACATTGGCGCCAACTTGCATGCAGCTTGGCGCTGATTGAGTAGAGAACATTGTAATTACACTGCCATTTGTTATTTGTGTGGTGAAGACTGCGAGTTAGGTCATGCTGGAATACAGACCAATCTACAGTGAGTGAGTGAGAGAGTCAGTGAATCCGTGCTGGCATGGAAACAATTGTTATTTCTATAAAATTGTGAACCTCAATCTCATTCAAATCAGATCTTAGTTCTCGCTCCCGCTAAACAAAGATCTGAGGACATCCCATTAAGGGTCATGTCAGACCGGCCTTGCGCGAATTTTGACCAACCAATGGAATCATTGACAAGAAGTTGATATTAGCGAATCAGAAGACAGCATTCTCGTGGTTTACGGCACTAATTTCAAACTGGTGACTACACTTTGAAACATATTTTGACATTCTCGATTAAAAATTTCATAACGGAACAAATGAACATTCTGGAATGGCTAGTAGATGGCCTAGATTGTATGGATTCAGTCATAAAGCCTATAACTGTCATTCGGAATACCCCGTGTTAAATGTTTTTGAGTTTGCATGATCAGAAATCACATTCCGACTGTCACTTTCATGATCTTGTTAGTGATGCTCTGATTGGTCGGATGAAAGGTCGTTCTGACGTGACCCGTGATGGAATGTCCTCAGATCTTTGTTTAGCGATAACTAAGATCTGATTTTAATGAGATTGTTGTAAACCTTTCTTTCATTGAAACTGAACGGCTGAGACGTATTAGAGAGCTGGCCTGTTGGGGGGATATGTAGCATTACTGGTGTTTCTCCTGTCTGGGCCCTGCCCCACCCTGAAGCACATGGGTGTCTCCTTAGGCGAATGACTGTTTGAAATGTGCCTCTGTTCACCCAGCAGTGAATGGGTACCAGGTAGGATGAGATGGCAATGTGGTTCTTAACCTTCTTGCACCTAACAGGCAACTTGGGTTGTATACTCCCCAGGGAACTGAGAATGATTCGTGAGTGCACACTGATCGAGTGACCGGAGTAACAATAGCGCTTTGAGCCTGCCCCTGAATGGTGTGGAAATATGCGCAATATAAATGGCCTCATTATTATTATGATGATGATGATGATGATGATTATGTAGAGATTAAGAGATAATTGCAGCAAAGAGGGTTTGGGTGATCCTGGCACAGTCAGGCTGGTTAAGCTCATCTTCAGCTCAGGGCCCTTGCCCCTTTTACACGCAGCCCAGATAGCGAATGGGACTTCTCAGGCCTATTCCAAAGAATTTTGTATTTATCATTTTCCATGACGCCCTCAACATATTCCGGGTCGTACCATGGATTGACCTCTGTGTCAAAACCACAAGCCCTGTGTTTGTGCCAAAGCTGGGCATCCACTGACAATGTGTTGGTCAGTCTCATTAAATTCATTACATAATCTACATTTCATATTTACATTTTGATGCAAAATCACACATTGACAGTTTCGAGTGGGAAGTGACTAGTCCTGAGCAGCAAAGAGAAAGTCTTCTGTTTCACTTTTCAGGCATCATTATTGTTACAATGGTGCTCAGATTTAATCATGAAAAGAAACTTTCATTTTTAGGAATATCCCACTGATTTGTACAGATGAGGATATCAGCACTCTCTGCCAGGCTGTGTGATTTTATGATCTGCCATTGTTGGTAATTCTTCAAAAATGAAATATGTATCTCAGAAACTGCTTGAATCAAATGCAGTGCTGCTTTACATAAATGTTCCTTTGAACAATTGCTCAAATCACAGGAATATGTCTTTGAGAACTCACGGTCACCTCCAACATGACACAGCCACAGTCACACCTCACCAACTTTAGGACTTATGATATCAGGGTGTGCACCTCACGGTCATACTCTTTTCACATCTGAAACTTGTCATCAAGAAAGCTC